ATTCAATCTATATTGCTGTAAATAATATCTTAGTTATGTTTGGAGTACTATAACTGAGCACGAATTTCAGCCATTTTAAGAATAGCATCTTAACTCCACAAGGATTTTTTGTTACCGTAATTTCGCCTGATACATTTTGTTTGACATCTTAACTCCTCAAAAGATATTTTCTGTATTATAATATTTTAAAATAATAATAACTAACATTCTTAAGTAAGAAAGTACACATTGGCATTAGCAAGACCAGTTACTTGTCATTAATGTTTAAAATTTGTGAGTTACAACTAAAGTCTAAGATATTTTCTGTATTATAATATTTTAAAATAATAATAACTAACATTCTTAAGTAAGAAAGTACACATTGGCATTAGCAAGACCAGTTACTTGTCATTAATGTTTAAAATTTGTGAGTTACAACTAAAGTCTAAAATTGAATTACTTGAAAATATAATAATATGATTTAAACATTAAAATACCTGATTGGTTATTCACTAAAGATATAAAACATTCATCCTTCACAATATTTTCTGGTAAATTGTGCCCGGATTCATATACAATAAATATCTATAAAATATACAGATTCATATCATAATTATGCAAAATGATGCAAAATGCTTGACCCCCTTAGGCACGCCCCTGATCTCAAAGCATACTTTTATACTTGGGAGAACTTCTTTTGCTCATCACAAAATACAATTGGTGCAGATAAATCTTCAACTGACAGTTCCTAGTTTTCGTCACATTCCGTTACCGCGTACATTATACTATGGATTTTTTTCTATGTAAAATAATCACGATTTTAAGTATTTGTGCAGACGTAATTGATGCATGAAAATATAATTATAATTTTTATTATTGTTATTATTACTATAGTTGTCATATGCAACATTTATGTAACTATTCAGAAATATGCAATTAATATGCATTTGCATTCAAAAAAGCAAAAAAAAAAAATTAACCCTAGAATTTACACAATATTGCAAAATGTCGACACTCGATATTTATGATCAAAATTATTCTAAGTGAATTTTAGAAGAATATGCATTTGCATATAAATCCGGCCCCTAATTACATATACCTAATACAGTGGCGTAGCCAGGGGGAGGCTGAGGGGGCTGCCCCCCCCCCCCCCCCAAAAAAAAATCCTGGCCACGCCACTGACCTAATATGTATAGGTATTGAAAGTTTCTAATTTTTATTTAAATTGTTGATAAAAATGTATATCTATGCTCTCCGCAAACAGCTTAAATTAATTCAAAACTCACAATAATATAATTATTAGTTGTTCTTATAGTAACTTGATACAATGGTACTTAATATCGGAGTTAGGTACATATTGGAGAAAATGTTTTCTATATGTGTATGAATTAGTAAATACTTGGTCAAAATCACAAAAATATTAAAATTAATTAGCAGTTGAAAATGTATAACATTTTCAATATTATAATTGTTCAAGCATGAAAAATGAACAGGTATAAATTCCTTCATAAGTTGTTATTAGAGCAACCTAAAATTATCAAAAATACATGTTGACATTTTCAAGTTTAAGTGTTAACAATACTTAACGAAAAATAATGATAAAATTCAAAAAACATTATTTTGGGGACTTGAAATTGCTTATCGTTATTTATTTATTTATTTAAATAAAATCAACGGGCCAAAGCCCTTTAACAAAGAAAGAAAAACATTATATATGAATTGGCACAATATGAAAACAATAGACAAGTGATAATAATAAAAGTAAAAATAGTAAGAAATACAAAGACAAAATTTTAGCATATAAAACATAACTATAAAATAAATATTTAGGTACTATGATTTAAAAATAACAAAGTTTTAGATTTAAATATTTGATGATTCAAAACGAAAAAATCCAAGACTGTGGAGATTCTATTGGCGTTAATAATGGCTCTTGAAAAAATGAATTTTTTCCACTAATACTATTAAAATTAGGTGTATGGAACAACTCAGAATTACGTGTTCATCGTAATCATCATTCGTATCATCTAATACCTATGTTATATTACTATTATATACATTCTGCAATACACAAAGCCATTTTTTAAATATTTTGAATAATTTTAAGCAATTTTTATGATACCACGAGATACATGATACCATTCTCTGCATTAAACTGTATCGACTTCGGTATCGGCCAAAAGTTAATAACAATGATATATTATGTACATACACGATACATTATAATGGCTATTTTCACATAAAGGTAGTTGAATTTAACGGCTGTTATAAGTATAACCTTGAAGTGTATGTTGTTTTGATAAGTAGGTACATATATAGGTACACAATAAAATATGAATATATGATAAGTACCTATTTTTTGGCTCAAAAGTTTGAAAATGTAATACCAGGATTTTCATAAGTAGTTATAATAGTTCAAAAATATCTAAGAAACATTTGCACGAATTTTTGAATTTTTTAAAATATAAAATAAGGGTTCTCATAAGTATTTCATAGCACAACTAAAAATTCTAAAAATTCTATTAATACAGTTTTCTTTTAAATAATTATTATAAGTTTTAGACAAAATTCGATATTTTAACGGAGAATAAAGTTTTCAGTGAATTTTTTGTAATTTAATATTATTATTGTTATACATTAGGCAACAGAGTAGACAGACGATCTTTGCTCAGAATTGTTTTTCGTATTCAATAATTGTAAAACATTGAACTCAAATTTAACACATCCATTAGAGTGACAAATAGGTACAACACTTAACTTATAGCGGAGAGATATAAGTACCCACCTTTTTTTGTTTTTATTTTATTAAACTGAGCTCCAACACCTGAGATCGTGTACCTACATTATAATTTATATACATTTATGAAATATTGAAATACATGATAATTCAAAATTAAGATGTATAAGTAGTCACTTAGAGGTTCAAACTACAAAGTACATTCAATAGTTATTACTTATTTACAATATTAATTTTGAAAAGGAAATCTAAGCGTTTTATGCTGTTTTCTGTTAATTGAAAGCTTCTTCTAAGTTGTTTGTTATCGATAAGGTATCTTAGACATTTGGACATTGTTGAATGATATCTAGAATGTTACCTAACCGTTTACTATACATAAAATATTTATATATAAAAAGAAAAATGTAATGCACTTATCTTTTTACTATACATTAGTGTTTAAGTTTTTATTGTACATGTACATGTATTAATACATTATTATTACTAAGATAATAATATGTCTATTTTTGTGTCAAGAGAATACAAATATATGAAAGCAGCTATTATAGAGTTACAATAAGCTCATATGGTCATATAGCTAATATAAATATGGAAATTATACGCGTCCCGCTTGCTAAACAATATCATAAAAAGGAAAAAACAATAAAAAAAAACACTCAATTTATTTGTGGAGTGCAGTCACGCAGACTGAAAAAGCTGGTCCTATAGGTGTAGCCATAATAATATTAACAATAATGGAAAATAAATGTAATATATTATTATGATACACATTTTCTCAACTATGGCGTTTCGCGCACCCGCGGATCTAAAGTATAACAACGATCGTATCAGAAATAGATTATATATTATTATTATTATTTATAGTTAAATCACGTAACAGTACCTAGAAAAATACTTAAGAAATACACTTAAGACGGCTCCTTGCATAGGCAATCCATGGTCATTGATGATAATTGAAAAACAATACAAGAACTTTATACAAAAAAATCATAATAACTAACCACATAAATTTGTTTTCCCAATAAGTGCACGTGAAATAAAAATAAAATAAAATAATAATTATAAAAAAATATCAAATATGCAGTCACATAATTTTTTTTATAAACTTTTTAAATTAGAATTTCGACAAAATTAGTCCAAAATCATAAAAATCTGAAATCTATTTTTGGTTAAAAATTCATAAAAAGTTATAAAATGTTTAATTTATGTATCTAATTATTGAACATTTAAAACAATGTTTTTCATTAGTAGCTCATATTATAATCAAAATACCTAATTACAGGGTTTTTATACATTGATTATTGATATTACATTTTCATACTTGGACTAAATTAGATATTTCGACGAAGGATAACAATAGTTATTTTGTTGTGATTTAAAAATATTTTTCTTATTTACTTAAGTACATAAGTATATTATTAAATTGTATACACACAATTACATTTTCAAATGCAATATTTTGGGTAAAAATTGACTCAAACTACTGCAATATTAGTAGTATAGTAGTATTACTAATATTATCATAAAATATACTTAGTATTAGTAGTAGGCCGAAAGACCGTCACTTAAGGATTGTATAAAATTATATTATATTAAGGAATTCAAATTTAACACGTCCATTACAGTGACACACACTCGATGACAACTACTGCACAGCAGAGCAGTACCCACTTGTCCACTCTTTTTATTTTTATTTTAAAAATAAAAATGTATATCACTATGTTTTTTAATATTTGAGATTAAAGTTTGTCAAATTGAGTATAGGCACTGGATTGTTAATTAAACGTTTCATGTTTGTGATTGTTCAAGACCTCAGAGTTTAAAGTTTATGATTCGAACTGAGACCAGTACAAGAAAGAACAAAAATTTGTTAATAATTTTATATTATGTCTATAAAATTGATAATAATTTGTTTAACTCGTTAATAGATCAATGGCCAGCAGTAACAACCATCGAGATAAATAATATAATTTGCTTTATATTGATGATAACAACACATGTTTGCTTATCATGGGATTTACAATTTTTATTTTCACAATAGTATTTCAATAAACATAGTAAAATATTAGTATTATTATAATGTCTTGCATTCAATTCTATTCACAGTGTTTTTGAAGTTAAAGCTTACATGGTTACATACCTACTCTTTCTTCTTCATTAGTTTTCAAGAAAAACCAACGTAGTACCTTTATATGATGTATATAAATTTTGGTATTTATTTATTTTCACTTTGTCCGTTCTCTGAATACTAAACAGGCGCCCTTGAGTGGACATCGTACACGAATCGATTATTATAATACAATATAAATAATTTATAATAAGATAATAAAGCAAAAACAAAATGATAATATATATATAATTTTTTACGCGTTTAAAGTAAACGAACGCAATATGAATACACTATAATATTATACTATGACACCAATCAATTTGTTAATTGTGTGAGAAGAGCGGTGCCTTTGAGAGTCCAATAGCTCTGAGGAAATTCGGTCGGCAACAATACGGCAATTACAAAATTAGTACTATGTCCGGTGGTCGAAAGAACTCCAGCTCTGGCTGAAGTTTTATACAGAGGGCAATTGTACCTCAAACTCTGTTCGTCCAAATTGACAGTCGGGACTAGTCGTATAGCGGGCAGTGAAGGATATAGGTCACCTTGGATCAACAGAAATAATGTATGAATATTGTGTAATTTTGTTACTCTGGTAAGAATTTTAATTTTTGATTATCGAATTGAAATATTACCGGGCGTGGGATCGACCAGAAGGCCGGTGGTGGAGTCGATGCGTCCGGCATCAAGATACAGGCCGTGCACATAAACGCCGTCCTCCAGTTTCGTTAGGCCTTTGTAAGCGTTGTTGTCTTCTTTCGCGGTGGCCGCGTGCACAGCGGCAATTTCTTCTTGCACCAGAATGGTTTGGGTAAGCTCAAAATCAACTTTCAAACTGTCAATGGGTATGGCATATTTTCTAGCATGCCTCTGTAGACACCCAGTCATGAAACCTTGGGGAAAATACAAACCTGATATCCAGTACGAAGGAGGACTACCAAACTTCATCCAAAACTAAGATATTTTAGAATTTTTAAGATTACAATACTCCCTTATAACAGTTAGACATTTGCAGATCTCACTTACGGTGATAAAATCTAGTCTAAGTGCCAAGTCCTTAACCCAACTACCCAAAGCTTTCAACGAGGGGTATGCTTTGTTCAGCCACATTTTCGGTACCTGTGACATTTAAAAATTTATTATATGTTTGAGACACTATAGGAAACTATTAAAAATGTGTTTATTATATATACTACCATGTTGTTCATGAATGATACATATACTCCTTCCAAATCTGCAGACATGACCACGAGCCCCTTAATCGCCTTACGTAAGTCATTTAACGAATTATGAATGATGTCAAGCAGTTGATTAAATCGTTCGATCTCCTGTGATAGTACTGTAGATAATGAAGGCAATCTTCCTTTATCGTCTGCATTCATTATTGTGAAATGAGCTTCACTGAAGTCTATGACCTCCACGAGTCTTTCGGAAATATCAATGGCCATTTCCATAACGATTTCATCGTCTGATTTACCAGCAGTGCTTGTTAGTGATTTAGGATATGCTTCAATGATTGTTAATAATGTCTCCTGTGTTTCTTTTGTCTAATAAATGGAATAATTACATATTAATATAATATAAATATTTATATACGTAATACGTATTACATAACAATATACAAATATGCTATAAATGTTTTATTTTAAAATCAAAATTATACTTGATACGCGATGTTCGCATTTTCGTGCATTCCGAATATTTCCGGTTCTTCAATTATAGGTAGTTTATCAATAAATAGCTGATATTCATCAACTGTGGTGCATTTCGCCCTTTCTGGACAATAGTAAGTACCAGACTTGGAGTATTTATAGTCTGAAAAATATGATGTAGTAGCATATAAAAGTATAAATCTTAGTATATGACATCGATTCGTTATTCGTATTACCCGGTTCGAGGGTGTGAGGACCGAAGAAATTCAAAAGCACCGTTTTCAATGTTATTTGATCCCATGAGTCGGTAACTCTGCCTCCGTAATTTATCTCACCAGTAACATACTGTAAAGCGTCCCAAGGTATTTCTTTTGCAGTTAAGCAATACATATGCAACAATAGTAAAGCGCATTCACGGTCACTGTCAGTAAACGAGTATGCTATGTTCCATCCAAGAGACCCAAATTTCTTTCTTTCTAATATGATAGCGTGGAAAAAACACAGCCCAAATACCATTTTTCTCCAGTTAGAGTTGAATGCTATGGTGCGATTGATTACATGATTATATTAGATATTTCATATAAAATCAAAAAATCGAAATTTACCATTGTTTTCAAAGAAATCGCTGTTTATGTCTGTAAACGATCTCTTCATATTTGCCCTTAAGCCTTTAGGTGGTTCGTTTGTAACTTTTAATGAATTTTGTAGGACGAACGTAGGAAAACTTTTTGATGGCATCGAACTAAAAAACAGCCTAAACTCAGGTTTAATATTTGTTGGATTTTCGATTAGATTTTGCACTAAATTTTCCATATGAAGCATCCACGATGAAGCTAAATGACAGTTCTGAAAAAAAAATTTTAAACAAGAGGTGGGTACTAATTTGTTATTAAATAACTATTATTCAACTATACATAATACGATAATTACTTGCAAAAATACCCAGTTGCCTTCTTTTTGGCCATTTTTTATAAGTTTTTCTGCAATAGGTCCTTGACCCTGACCCAAAGAAATTGCACGTAATTTATCTATCATTCCGAATTCCGTTGCAAACTTTTGGAACGATACGAATGGATCTGAACCAGGACTAAGAATGAAAATCAATGGTATTGTTGGAGACGTGTCATTGTATAATATGGGAAGCGAAACTCCTGGACTTTCAATGAATGTTTTCCCAAGTTCAGTGCGAATGTAATTAGTAATTGCGAATATCAATTTTTCTTCTTTGAATGCTTTAATAATCATAAGCTTTTCAAATGAATTTAATTTTGTATTCCAGTTTACTGCATTATTGTTTTCGTGATCTAAATGAATATCTTGAGTAAATTCGCCTAGTGAGATTTGTATTGGTCCAGTGCAGTTTTCAGGAAGATGTTTAAATGTGGAAAATGTTTCAGACATATAGTTTACAGTTTTCCAAATGTCTTCTGTCAACCCAAACACCGCTGGCTTAATCGACATTTTCCTTTTTACTTTTCCTATGGGCCCACGCAACAAAAAGTTCCATTGATCATTTGTGATTTTTCCCGATTGCAAATTTATGCTGACGCTGACCAAGAAACTAAATATTGATTTATGGCGTTCAAACAGGCCTCTAGAAACATTAGTATAAACCGCCCGGGTAATATCTTCGATCATGGTGGGCATTTTAATATCTATTCTCATTTTTTTGTCAGTGTTTTTTATCACATTGCAAAATATCTAAGATTAAATAATACAATTTTCGGATTATACGCTACGCATAATTTTATTATAACTTACGGAACTGAAATAATTTAATGAAAATTGATACATGGTGTCAATTTCGGAAAGCTGAGCTACTACAAAATAAAGGCATGATCCTCGATTAGCAACCACTCGATAACGCTCACGTGCGACACCGATGTATTGTTCCGTTTCTTCTGCGTCTATTAAACGTCCAGCGATGATAATAGACGTCTCCTAAAATTAAATAAAAAAATATAAATGTCTGGGAAGTGTAAATATTTACTTAGTAATACTTTGCTATTATTAAGTGTTTCAATGAGTTCTTCATCGTCCAGTATATTTCCTTTTGACATATTGAGCATTCTCAACGTTTTATCTTCCATTTCTTTTAATAAATTATTGTCATCGTTTATACTCACAATTGTTTCAGTCCGCTTTGCTTCTAAATCGGGCATTTCTAATCGCACAACGTCTCTAGAAAAATAAATATTATAAATAGTTTAAATATATCAATTAATATAAAGATTAATATTACTATTTACACTAATAATTGATCTTCTAAGCCCGAAGGTGTTACAGTGAAATTTACCAGTGTAACTTGTATACATACGTCTGGTAAATAATGTGGATTAGACATTTTGGTTGTCATGTAGAATCTGAACTGATCGTCATATTCAATGTCAGTATTACCAATGCGCATTAACATCCGTCCACCCTAACGATAAAAATGTATACTTATTTTTTATTTGGCCAAAGCTTGTATGTTTATCAAATTAAGTTATTTACGCGTGAAAATGTTATATTCTCCAATACGGGTCTTAATGTGGGATCAATGTGTTCTTCGAGACCTTCGATCAAAACCGAGTACCCCAGTCTTACCGCATCAACGATTACGTTCATGACGTCTGAATCCGTACCCTTACATGTTTTCAGCGAATTGTCCAATTCCAAGGCCTTGATCCATTTGTTAGCCTGTTCTTGGGGATCTATCATCAGTGGCCATCGGCTTGCTCTGGTGACGATTATCGCACTGTCCGTTGACACCGAATCCCTTGGGAGGCCACACATATTCCACGAGCGTAACTCAAATGAATCGATTAGTACAGAGCTCAATGTGTAATTTGCTGAATGTTTTATTTCATATTGTGCCAACAGTTGAAGCCAAAAATAAGTTATATCTTTACGATACTCGTCTGTGAAAGGACCCAAATAGTTAACACTCCCGGCTGCTATTATAGTGTCACCGGTCACTGTCAATAAACGCTCAGAAAGCATCTAAATAGAATGTTAAGTCAAATGTGAGTTAAAATTTTAAAAATTTTTTCATGTTGTATAAAGAATGTAATAAATACTTTTATATTATTTTCCCATCTTAACTGTTCGTCACTTAAAGCTTCAACAAGTAAATCGGATCTGTTTAATCGCGATTGTGTTATACTTATGTTTAATTCAAGTTTGTTTTTCTCCGCAACACTCTGGTCATAAGTATCTTCTAGTTTCTTTAGGCGTGCTTCGACGTCAGCTAACATTTTTTGCTTCGCTCTTAGTTCTGTTAATACAATATTAAGTTCATCTTCAGCTTCTTGTTGTCTAAAATTATACATATAAAAATATAATGTAGAAAATAATTTGTATTGATATTTTTAGAATAAAAAACTATTTTTTTTTCACATTTCAAATTTCTGTAAATAGCACACAAAATTGAATATTTTGATTAATTTTTAATATATTTTCAACATTTTTAATTTTAAAATGTATAGAAAATTATAAAATAAACATATTTTGGTGATATAGTCTAGTATTTAAGGTTTTTGTTTTTGAATTACAATAGTATGTCAGAAAGTAATCGAGAAGAAAAAGTCCATTTACGTGTGAATATACAATGTCGAAAAAATTTGCAGTTCAAACGCTTGTAAATGTGATTCAACTTCTTTTTGAAATAGGTATAACAACTTGTGAGGAATCTCACATTATATTTTTTTTAAACTAGCTTTGCGTAAAAATTGAAGCTTTTTCTAATTTTTTTTTGTTTTGTTTTTCCCAATAATTCAGAAAAGTAAAGAGAATATTATACTTGTGGCTAAAAACTACCCTCATTTTTACTGTTCCAAAAGGATTGCAGAGACACAATAAATACATTCATCGCTCCTTTTTGAATGCAAAACTTTTAACTATCATGTGACATAATATAAAAAATCGATAAATATTAGTTGGTATTTCATTATATTTGTTTTTATAATTTAATTAATAGTTTTATAGAAAATATTTCAAAATTATTTTGTATTGTAGGTATTATTATTTTTTTCGTTTTAAAGAATCACATATAATACTTATTTAAAATTAAAAACATTTTTCAATTGATTTTGCAGTTATAAAAAGAAAAAATTGTAATAAAATATTAGAAAGTTTAAAATTAAATTAAATTTTAATATTAATTTTAAATTATTTTAATGAGATATAATTAAATATTATAGAGATTGTAATTTTTTGACCTAATTATAACATTGATTATTATAATTCAAATAAAAATTATTCCAATAACCACTTATTTAAATGTTTTGTATTCCTTGTTGTTGTTATTATTATTATTAATTGAGGCGGGAAAAACTGCGTAAGAAATATTTAAAAAAAAATTCAGGTAATGGTTAACCGGACCGGAAATTAATATTGTAGTTATTTTTATACTGTTATAGGTCATAGCTATAAATAGGTAATTAAGTATGTTGTGATTAGGTATACATATTTGATACACCATTTCTCTACTGTTATCACTGTACTGAATAACTTATATCACTTTGTAAATATAATTTAACAACAATTTTACTTACTTCTTTCTTTTTGGTTCAACTATTCGAAATATAAGAGAATAACTATAAACAGCTCGAACCCACATACACATTGATTTGGCTACTCCGGATTGATATGCTACTTTTTTTGGAACGAATTCTGGATTGTCTATGTAAGGCTTAAGTTGACTAATCATTTTGTCTGATATGTTATCCGTATCATATTCTTGTAGAGTCTTTAGGAAATTACTATCCCCTAAGACTAGTTTAGCTGAAGTCCAATCAGTTCTAATAAAAAATACTCAAATATGACAAGTATGTACATATTGTACCTCCTACATAACATAAAACTATTTATCAATTACTTTTTTCCCAACAATAGACATACAGCTTCCATAACAGTATGAACAAGTTTTGGAGGCTTATTAAACACTCTTAGTTCATTTATATCTTTTTTGTTTAGGGCCTCTAAAGCTGTTTTCGCTGCTATCATTGCCGGCATTGCTAAGTCTAAATCTTTCTGTGCATCTTCAGCAATTGCCTGTGCAGCATCAGCTTTTATTTTTGCTGCCGATTCTTCCACAAGTACTACTTCTCGCACAGTATCTACCCCTGCTTTTTCAACCGTTAAATTTTCCATTAGTTTCAATGAAGCTTCGTTTTTCTCCAATAGTACTGGTTCCATTGCTTTTAATCTATTTTTCATCTCTCCTACCATATTGAAAGTTTCATATAATTTCCCCAAACCTTTTGAAATACGATCGGATTCACTTTTGATCTTATTGGTTTGAAATGCATGCATTTTTAAGTATAGTTTCAAAAACTCTAAGTAACTCTTCGGTGTTACATAGTAGTGTCTTCTCATTTGGTCGTAAAATTTTTTTGTCGCTTCGCTAACTGATTCGTGCATACTATTACAAATGCTTGTTAGATTGTTAATCAAGTCTAAATTTCCTGTTTGTGAAAACATTCCCAAGCTATTATATGCTACGGATAAAAGAGCTTCTTTCGGCCAGTCATCAAACCAATCTATCGTTGAGTTGTTAACTAATGAAGGAAACAAACGGCATCTTCGCCTAAACGCATCACCAATCGGGCTCATAGATATTACGAGATGAAGTTTAGAGCGTACTCTCTGAATAAAGTATCTGAATATTGCATCCCGGTTCTCACTACTGATTCCTAATTCTACAGCTGCTGGTCGACAAGCAATAATGACTTTCTCCAGGTCATCATGTTTAAATAGATTTGGTACTTCCCCTTGAATAAATTTTAAAATAATGCTAATTCATAATCAATTTAATATTGATTTGAAATATTTTACCAGAGTTTAAAATATTGTTTATATCTTCCAAAAATACTTCTTGTACAATTTGATTGTCTGTGAATAAAAACGTTGTGTCTTCAAATTTTGCACCAGTTTTATAATAAAGATTAACTAAATCTTCGTGAAAAGTAGCATAATCATACGATTTTGTTAACTCTATTTGAAAACATCTAAAATGTACAATAAATATTTTAAAAATTTATATTTATATTCATATTCATATTGTTTTTCGTGTTATGTTGTACAATGCGTACTTGTAATCATTAATATGTGATGCCAGTCTAGTCAGTGATTGTTTGCCCATACCACTGACTCCAACAAGTAAAGCATTTCCTCTTTCAGATCTCAATATTCTTGCTATACGAGTTATGTGCTCGATTGCATCCATAAAAAATATGATGTTTATGTCTTTATTATATACCATATTAAAATCCATTAAATTTTCAGTCAACACTTTTTTTAATTTATCAATATCGGTTATTTCTTCGTAAATTCGATTCTCATTGGAACTTGGATTCATGAAATCGCCGAATAATAACATAGGAGGCCGTGTTAGATTTGTGTCTGATTTAGAAAATTCTAACACTTTTGTTTCGAAATAACGTTGGCACGCAGTTTGAAGAAGATTATGAAAATATGATCTATCTTCTTGACAAACTAAACGATCATGGTACACCCGCAGTGTTTCGTGATACCATAGTCTGTAAGAAAAATTATTAATTAATATTATATTGTTTTATATAAGTTATACTGAGTTGTACTAAGTGATACCTGAATAAATGTTTTCGATCGGGTATTGTGATGAAATCTGCTTGCAATACTCCTTGTATGGTCTTTGACAAATCTCTGAGATTAAATACATAATGTGACTTTGCTGGAGTAGGTAATAAATCTTCTGAAATACGTAAGTATACATCGATACTAGCTTCTACAATTTCTGGACACGAATTAGATATAATTGGTGGGAATTCTTCGAAAAAACCGTCCAAAATGGAGGAAAATATAGTTCTCATAGCACTTTCGCTAGTAGTTGGTATGAACATCATGGAAAAATGTCTTGTGAATCTCGGAGTTAATGGATTTCTACCTCCACCCGGAGGTGCACAAATAGTACATAATATTACATTTTCTATATATTTCCAATCCAACTTCTCTCGATCGTACATGCCCCCACAATCCAAAAGTTGTCTTAGTAATTCAATTGGTGGTTGAGCTCCATAGACTTCAGGCTTTGGCATATTGACATCGTCAATAAAAATCGCTAAACGTTTAGTTCCTGGTGCACCAAAACGATTTCGCTTTTTCTTTACTAATTTTGATTCTAATATTTCTTGAGTCCTATTACTACTAGTTTGGGCAGAAAAATTTATTATTCCGGTTATCCAATCATTTGTGGTTGCCAAGTTTTGCATGACTAAATTTGCAACTGAAGTTTTTCCCACCCCTATAAAATGTACACTGTATGTAATTATAATATCAATAACAAGATCTACAATTTAGTCAAATTTAATATTTTTTTACCTGTTGTCCCAGTTAGCATTACTGGTTGGTTCATTTGCACAAGCCTTTGCATTACATATGCATATCGAATGCTATCTACTGTAGGTACTAGTAACTCAAAATAAGGTGTATCTGCATTATAAATAAATTTTGGAACTATTGAATCCCATTTTTCAAATGATTTAGTTATCGTGTTTAAATATACATCAAATAATTTAACTCCAGGTGAAATTGGAAATTCGGAATGATTTTCAAACTGATTGAAAACTAAATTTTCGAATTTATTTTGAGAAGAATCGTCTAAATTTGATCCCAATGACCACAAATATGAAAATATAAATGATTGGCAAATATAATTTAGGATTTTTGAATGTTCTGTTTCTGCATCAAAACTATCAGGGTCGGTGAATAGAGATTCAATAACAGTACACATCATAGTCACTTTACTAATTTCAACCTAAAATAGGGTTTAAAAACGTAACTGTTTTAGGTTAGGTTGATTAAATTAGGTTCATCCTACTTTCATCGTAGTTAAATGTTGGCAGAATTATACCTGTTTAATTGGAGCCAAACAATGCTTCTTAATAAATGAAAAACCTTCGTAGACATAGGTTTCGAATAGTGTCAACAGATATTTTTTTATTTCTGTGCTATTTTGAATTGCTTCATTTGCTAATCTATTTATCCACGATCGTACGTATGGTAACCATCCTAGTTCAGCTGCGTCTACGTAAACCATTCCACATCTACTAACTGTGGCGGGTGACGCTTGTGACAAGTCACCAACTTCAAAAATCATTCTAACCTGAAAACGATGTAGTACCATAATTATATTGAATTATTTTAAAGGCAATAATTTATTAGAAGCCGTACCCAAGAGCTCAATTTGATGCGCTCCGAATTGGCTAGACATAAGATCTTGTTATCGTCAAGTACAGTATTAAGGTTCTCGATCCATATTGCATCCACAGGGCCGTCACACACCACCCATTGAAATATTTCTTTTGTTGTCTGAACTGTTTCTCTTACAAACTTTCCGAGTAATCCATCCCTCCATTCCATTGTAAGAAGATTTACTTCACCGTAAAGTTCGCTCATAGTTATGGCTTTTGGATTTAGTTGGTATATTTTTACGGGTCTATAATATTGGTCTTCAACTTTATTATTGTAAAGTTCTGTTAATGTTTTACTGAGTATTTTTAATACGGTGGTCTTTCCACCACCAGTAGGACCAACAGTCATGATACCATGTCGTACAATTATTGTCTCTAATAGCTGTATAACTTTTACATAAATACACTCTTCAATTTGATAGCCATAATTTTCCATCATACTTTTGGTCGTGGATAGGAACATTCCATAATCTTGTTCTGGTAAGACAATTCCAGGAAAGAGATCGTTTAATATACCCTGAATATTTAAATAATGTTATAACTATAAATATATTTTACACTTTATGAATACTATGTTCACCTGGAATAGTATCGCGTCATCTTTTAGGAATTTCGGCAAATTACTATCTCTCAGAGCTCTAATTAATACTAAATCTTCGTTGATGAAAGGATTTTGTCGTTTTAATGAACCTGCCATAACCAGAACGCTTTTTACAGCCCTTTATAACAGAACAGTTCGTGATTATATTAATACTTGAAAAATATAACGAATAAGATTACCTCATTCCAAAGTCATAATGATCCTGAATAGAAAGCTGTTCACTACACAATTTATACATTTTTACCATTTTTTGAGACAGCATTTTCGATGACTCAAAACCCTCAGAATACAATATAACCTCAGCAATTAGTCCATAGTCTGGTACCATCATTGCCATTGGTCTAAATAAAGCTTGTAAATTATCTGGTAATTCACTTCTTCCGGCATATCCTGGATTCATTGTTATGAATGCTGCACAAGTTTTCACAAGTTTAATCTCACGACCTTCAAACATAAACTTGGTAGCATTTATCAATTTTGCATTCATAATGGTGATTAGTTGTTGCGCGATAACCGATAAGACTTCAATTTCTATGCGGTTGAATTCGTCAAAACAACACCACGCTCCTGATTGAGCTAATCCGGAGAAGAATTTACCCATCATCTGCAAAAATAATTGTTGATTCTTTCTTGCATAACTATTATTTAGGCCATTATTTTTTACCTTATAATCTAAGCCATCAGAACAGTTAAATACAACACATTGTGTAGCTAATGCTTTTGCAAGGTCCTTGGTTGTTTCGGTCTTTCCAGTACCCGCAGGTCCAGCGGGTGCACCACCTAAATTTAACTGGAGTGCACCCATCAAGCACAAGTAACATTTGTCAGTTAAAGGCGTAATCACTAATCTAGGAGATGCACCCAGGTATTCAAATGCATATAACCAACGAGCATTGGCCATGTACGCAACACAACCATCCACAGTATCCCAATAATAGCGAAGCTGTTTTAGCCATTCAAAATTTAAATCACTGTTGATTTTACGGACTACCATAGTTGATATTATATCCCTCGCGTGAACATCTATCGTAATCAATGCGCAGATTACAGAACGTTGAAGTGTAGTTAAACGTCCTCGAACCATAGCCGCTAAATTATTCAAGTCCTAAAATAATAAATACGTAATTAGTTTATTAGAACTAGAAAATTATATCAATTTGACTTATTGACGGAGATACTTAATTTAAAACATTTTTGTTCAAATTCAACCAATTTTTCTTGTATATTAGAGTCAAGCTTTAGGGTCTTATGAACGTCACGACACCACATCATCTGTGATACTGCAATTATTAGCTGAAAAATAAAGACTTAATTCAATTATCGGTAGGTGGTTAGCTTGTTAAATTATTTGAATTGCAACCTGAGCAGCGTGTGACAAAACCCATTTTTCTCTAGGAATTTTGTCATAATCTTCCATGGCTATGAACATGAACGTCCGCAATGTATTTACCATCTCTTTTTCTACTCTTGTAAGCCAAAATTCAACGTTTCCAGTTGCTTTGACTTGTAATGAGAATTTCACGATTTCTCTTTCAGGTGATATCATAGAAATAATATTGGTAGGTGAACTATCTTCTTTATCTGGGGTTAATGGGTTTCCTTCCTTATCGTCGTTTTTAAATTGTATTCTCCAAATGGCGTCGAAACATTTGTTCATGTGTGGCTGAACAGCTCTAGTATTCCGTGCTTGAGCAATTATTTCTATGAGCTCATCATTTGACAGGAAATAAAACCTTGGAAATATAACTCTCTTTGATTCTAAATATGCCTCTAAATATAACATGATTTGTTCTAATTGTTGGTTATTTTTTATGAGAGCTTTTAGGAGATCAATATCGGTGCATGTGCTTATAGCCAAAGGATTTTTTTCAGCTTTTAACATTATTGCCTTCCAAGAACTATTGACTTGACTAAATAATGCAGCTTCGTTCGGAAGCTGTCTTTGAATGTCAGGAGCAGAAAATATCGATTCCAAGTAAATCCAATTATTCTGGCACATTATCCATTCCGTCTAAAGATAATATTTATTATAAATAATTATATCAGTCTTATACATATTTATTAAATATAAAATTCATATACACAAAATAATTACTAAATTACTCACTAGAACGTCATTCATAATGTTCATAGATTTTATCCATTCTTCAACTCTTGATCTTATCATTACTACATGTTTGGATGAAATGAGAGTATTTAAATTTATATTCGCTTCTTCTAGTGTTAACTGAACTTCTTCCAACGACCCAAGTATAAAAATATCATGTGCATTTTTATACGGAAGTATAATTAAATCTACTATTTTCCAAGAATCTTCAATTTTCTTTAATATTCCTTCTAAAGTTGCTTCAGAACTTGCCTGCCCAGAAACTTCCATTATCTCAGGACCGTGACTGAACACGTCCAATTCTTCAAGAATTTTAAGAGTAAGCGTCTGGTTGATTGGGAATTTCGTCCCAAGTATCTGCTCAACTTTTATCCAATGATGGTTTTTAAGATTCGGATTTCTCAACATTGTTATGATCGACATTTTTGACTTAAAAGAATGTACTTTTTCATCAATAAGATTTATGAGTTCGCATTCAGGAATATTTTTTGAAAATTGCACAACATATTTTAAATTTAGTGCTAAGAACGTATTCATTTGTTCCACATCTAAACTATGAAAATTGTCTGTTTCCCAAGCAGACATTTTTTCTTCCCATTCGGCTAAACTCTTCCTAAGCAATATTCTGAGTCTCACAGCTTCACTTGCCTCGGTCAAAATATCAACCTTTGTCATCTCAACGCGGAAATAACGTTGATAAGACTTATACATGTTTGATTCTATTTGACGTTCTGCTAATTGTTCACTAAGTGAAGATAATTCATCTAATACATGTTCCGCATCTGAATTAATATCGATTAACCATGGTTCCTAAAAAAAAAAACTTAAAATAAAATATATATAAGTAAATTAGATTATTATTACTTGAGCTTCGATATTTATTTTTTCTACTTCTCGAAGCATGTCTTTTATTTGAGAATCGATTGTATTGACGAAATCATCAACAAGATTATCTTGATCATTATAAATGTCTTCAAATTCTATTTGTAAAGTCGTAAGCTGTTCTGAGAATCTCTATAAATAAATATTATTAAACATTTTTGAATTAATAATAATAATAATAATAATAATAATAATAATAATAATAATAAAAAAAAATTATAAAAATAATATAAGGAATAATAATAATTGTATGAAAATTAATATATATATTAATATTACAATAATTCAGTTATGATAAAAATATTATTAACATCATAATTATCAATATCCTCTTCAGAAACAGGTATTTCAAATTCTTCAGCTAATTCATAAAGTTCCTTAGTATAATTTAGTTTGACATCTAATTCTTCCAACTGAAATAGGAAACATATTAATATTTTTAACATACATTTTTTTTCGATAATATATTAATTAAATGCGAACCCTTTTAGAATATGTTTGTAAGAACTTTTTATAATCTACATATTGTGTGGCGTTAGAAGGAGTGGTGTAGAGGTATTCGAGGGATTCTTTTATTTCAATCAATAGTTCATTTACCAACTCTTTTCCCACTCTATATAATGCAATTAATCATTAAATATAACTAATCTAGTTATAGTTTTCTAAATCCATTATAACATACTTGGCCAGTGTCTCCTCCACTAGTTCTAATAATAAATTACAGGTAGGTCTAGCAATATTTTTCAATAAATCAAATTTTAAATTAAACATGCCTATCATTTGATTGGAATTTATTTTATTCACATCGTATAGTTGCTGTCTGTATTTCTCTAACATTGTTCGAAAATTCGTTAAGTCTGTAAAAAGTAATTTTCATTCTGATACAAAAGGAGACATCTTAATTTTATTTTTACTGGTTTCGTTTTGGATAATCCCTCGATCCAAGTCTTCATTTTCTCTATAGATATTGTAAACGTATTCCATTCGTTTTAAGTACTTACGAACTGCTTCAAAGTTTATACTGATATAATTCAATATTTTTTCCATAGTATCCTTATATTCTTCATCGATATCGAACAGAAACTGTAACGGTGGTCCATCACCGCACAGTCGATCGACCATTTTACCATGGATCGACGGCCTATGACAATTGTTATTACCATCAATCAGAGCCATAGATCGTAGAATGTAAAGATACTTTACAATATCATACCTATAAGACTCACCGCATAAAACTGTTGAAGTCGTCGTCATCCAATAGTGGAGTGAAGTGAGTAATTATAATAGTTTTCCAGTCTTCCATTAAAAACGATATGTATGTGGTGTAATCGTTTAGGGAGTAATTGAACTCGATACCCAATTTCGTTAAGTAAACCTCGAATATGAACAATGGAGACTAATGGGATAGTAATAATTAAAGTCTGGTATAAATAAGATGCTATAATATCATCAAACAGAAGTAGGACCGGGCCTGTTCGATACCTTGGGATCATCCATTGACCTATCATCTTCCAGTACGATTTCAACGTCAGTTCCGGTTAGTAAATCGTCGCTAGGAATGTACTTGTAGTGCTTGTACACATCTGCCTCAAACCGTATGATTTGTTTTTGGACGAACTTGTGTAAATTCGATTGTAAAAAGAAATCAATGCACGTGATAAAACGGCATATTCTTTTGCAAACTTTCAGCTTCGACCTCTGCCGTCCGAAAGGCATGTTATATAGTATAACGTCTAAATCATAACTGTCCTTATTGTTATTATTAAATTCTGTATCGTTAATGGTGAACCCAGTTTCTTTCAGTGCGTCTTCGCACGCAACCAGCGTCAATTTTTTGATTGTCAACCGAAATTCTGTCAAAGTCTTAATAGCTGTTTTGATGCTTTCCATCTAAAAATATTATTCACAAATTGAAATTTTAGTATAAAATATACATACATAATTAATGGTGTGATCACTGATCAGTGGCTTAATTAAGGGGCTAGGTCATGGACTCACGGAAATTGATATCATAGAAACAAATTAATAGAAACAATTAAAGTCAATATACAGTATCATATTTTGTAATTTATTTTGAGAAAAATAACAATACTTATTGTATACAATTAAGTTAAAGTTTAATAATTCCCTAAAATATCGCAAAATATGCAAACATTACTTAACACATTTTCAAAATGGACCATGAAATTGAAAATTTGTTTAAAAATCTATTTCTTATAGATTATAAAATGATATGACAGAAACGTGTTGTACAATAATGTATTTTTCATGGTTAAAACTTTAAAATAGAAGTATTTTTATCTCCTCTTTAATTATTCGTAGATATAATAATGGTGAACCACGAGTATTGCATATTTATTACACAATATTAACACTATCTGACTTATATTTAACTGATATGCTAGTTTTTAATGCAATAAATGTAAGGCTACAAATTAAAATTTACCTTAACTTCAAAATTAAATTGTGAACAATGTTGTAATAACTATAAAAACGCCCTAAAAAGTTAAATTTGTTAAAAATTTCAAATTTTAAATAATATTATTATTATTATATTCTCAAATATTAGGGTATTTTTAAACCACGTTTTCTACTTGTATGGAGCTATGTTTTAAACCACCGGCAAAAATGACATTGCATAAAAATTCTAACCCTAAATATAATTAAAAATAAATAAATAGTGTCACTATGATTAATAATATGTTTTTCTTAGCTTTAGAACCAGTTTATCTATAACATTCTTATTATAAGTCATATTAGTATTGCACTAGAGATTTGGCATTTCTACATAAGATAGATGGTTCAAATTTAAAAGAAAACAATTCATTTTTAATTTAATAATTCTATTAGCACCACAAAACAAAACCAAAGTAGATTCAAAAGTAAGGATTCCGTTACAATAGTCCTCACCTCGATTGCGCCACAGAGCTTCCCTCTTACCAACCTGCTGTTCTTTAAATTGCTGTAGAGTATTTTCTTCGGCAACAGAACCATCATACAAACATATCTCCATAATATCATTAACAACTTCGGATATTTGTAACGATGTATCCCGTAGTGGAGTACACAGAAGGAATACAGTCAGTGGAACTTGTAATTCTCGACGCGTGTGATAGTACTTATTCCATGAAATAAATTTATACCAGAAGTGCAGACATTTCCATTGTTGATATTTTCTAAACAGTGTCAGCTATGAATAAAAATACATATTTTATTCATTTTAAAAAATCCATCTTACATTCTACAATATTGTTTTGTCAACTACATAAAGGTTTTAATTAGTTGAGAAACAATAAGAGATAAAAAAAAAAATTCCATATGCAAGTTAGAAATTTGTCCAAAATAATTTTTTGTATTCCACCATATTTATAGGCTGGTCATATATTCATTTTATTAGTTTGTTGAAAATAAGATAACATTATACCATAATGGAAAAAATATAATATATTTTATATACATGTTTCGATTTTCCACTTTGTAGGTGGTTTCTGGTAAAAAAAAAAAAAGATCTGGTTTGTACTTTTTCAAAATGTACTGGAAAAACAAAAAACATACATTTTTATGCGAAATCAGTTACAAAAACATACGACCTGTCGAATTGTCAATGTTTGCCTTTTAACAATTTATTTATAGCACACTATTTAATTTTTCGAATGCCACAATTCCAACAACATGCAGTTAGAACAATTTCAGAAAATGTATTACAATACCCGTAACTGTATCCATAACCGCAACCAACGACTCTTACCCGTAAATAGTTAAAACTTAAAACCCAGAGACTATTATAAATTATAATATACCTATACACACAAATTTGTAGTATGTAATATTCTTATGCATGCCTACCTATTTGAATGCTAATCATACTTCATACAAGTAGATACATTTTTATCATGTATGATTGTCCAATATTAATTATGCATGAACATTGTTTTATATTTTTGAAATATAAATAATCATATACTAAATCTAAGAGTATTAACTTACATTTTTGATTTTCTTATAAGATGTATACTGCTCTTCAAATTCTGCAAAGGACGTAAATGTTATTTCATCTTCAATGTGTGACATAAAACCTTCGTTACTGAGCGTAAAAAAACATTGTGTGTCGATGTTATTGAATAATACGATTTTAAAATTATAAGGGGAAAAAAATTTGGACTTTTTATTCGCCGCGTAGACTAAATAAACGAATTTATATTCTGTCGCAGTTTTAAACTCATGTATAATCTCATCTATGTCTAATACGTCGGGAGGTTCTTCTATACAATTCTGATCTTCAGATTTTACAATACTCTCTTCGAATTCGGATCCATCAGATGCAGAAACTTCTGTCTCACCCGACTCCGTGGCTAAACATTTAAACCAACACAACGCTTTAATCTAAAACCACAACATTATTTAAACTAATCGGTTATGTTACATACAATCGGAATCTCCTGGCTCAACGTCTTTTCCAATATTATTATCATAGTCTTCTCTTTTTTTGGTGTATTCTAAAAACCCAGACTAAAACAAAATAGTATGTTGACCATTTTTAATTAAATTTCTAGTAAGTATAACAGGCGTGTTTATTAAACATTAATAATCCTTAACTATAAATGAAAAAACTATCAAACTATCGAAACTTACCAAAGGTTCAGGATCCTCTTTTGTATATAATACTGCCTGCAAATACTTAGAGTGTAATGTTTTCGTGTCAATCTTTTTCTCGGGATTTTTCAAATCACTAGTAAATTTTAAAAAAAACAGTCATTAAACATTCTAAAGTGTAAAATGTTGTTTTACTTGTTAGACTTTTTTGATTTATTTTCTTCTGCCAAATGCAATTCAGACGACATTATTTAAGATGAAAATAAATTGCATACATTTAACATTTTATTTTAGATAATCGTTTAAATAGTTTATGTTGATTTAATGGTCTTAATTAAGCATACGTATCCAAGCAATAATAGAATCTCGTGAGCCATATCTGTTCTGTATTGTGAATATAGATAATAAAGTTTTTATTATCTATGGTAGTCAACTATCGACAAATTATTGATTACTTATTACTAAAGTCAAGGGCAAGGATTAATGTTCATCAGTACCTATGTTGTTTTTTTTTGCAGCGTCTTTTACAAATTTGGTTGGTACCTATCATGTTTACAAATCAACTCAAATCGATACAAATTATGTATTTTTTATTTTGCATAATGATTTATTTATTTAATCTATTTTTTCTTTAACTTTCTAAAGTTACATAACTGATTATACCTACTTACATTTTTCAAGTTGATTCCTACTCTTTGTAATCAATTGTGAGATGGCTCTACTCTCTAACTACAATGCCTAGTTGATTAGGTATTACAATTTAAAGTTTATATATTTTGTATTATAATACAATACATTATATAATACATATTTTTCACTATTTAAAATAGTAATAATAATTATTATAATGAGACTTTAATCAAATAATCATCGTAATATTTATATTATTATTTATTATACACATTTGTTTTCATAAGTTAAAATTTAATTTTATGATTTTATAATTAAATAGTACCTAATAGATATTATATAGTTGAATAAATTATGTCATCTCGCTATTTTTTCATAACTCCCAATCATAGAGGTTTTTGTTTAAATTAATCATAAGTTGCCATTATTTTATTATAGGTACGACAGGTACGTATTATTATTTATTATATGGAATTTATAATGTTTTTGTATTCGAAAATTATACCTATAGTAATATAGGTATGTCACCGTTTAACGTAAAATAACGCAACTAATAAGAGACACGATTTGATTTAAAATCGGAAAGTGTTTTATTATTATTACATTTCCACAATTCTAAAAATTTGAGAATAATATATTATATTTTAGTTGTCTATCTTAATTATAATACTTTTCCACTAATCTACTGACCGATGCTTGAATGCTTCCATGTGCCTCGCTGAGCAGTTGGATTTTGTTCATTTTTTTTTAATCTGAAAGATCATAACTTTTTGTGTTACTTCAAATAGTACTACAAAAATACTTTTGAAAAATAACTAATATTGTGCACTCTATACTCAAATGCATATTTTAGAGATTTTTTAATTATAATATTGAAACTAAGACTTTGATCAGATTTGAAAATCGATCTCTGTTTTCAAATTTTAAAAAATTAACGAAATCCGAATATTCTATGGGGCTCGAGAATTTTTCTTGAAAGTTGAAAGACATGTTTTAGTACTAAAAACACACCGTCTTCGACACCTTTAAATTAAGAAAAATATACTTACGATTTATACCATGATGTATGAATTGTATAATAAGTAACTTCAATTGCTAAATAGATTGTTAATAATATTTACGGTCGAAATAAGATGGCTTTCAGCACTACCGCCCGACAAGACAAAATATTGGGAGTAACCGAATTGGTTCCCGTTTGTGTACAGGTAATTTATAAAATATAAATGTACCTACACGGCTACACTCCATAATCTATAGTATAATATAATATACAATAAGATGGCAATATATTTATATATTGGAAGTTTAGCAAATTATCTGTGTTATCCCGATCAATTAAGATAACGATTAAGATATATGTACTTTTATCGCTGTATGGTATATCGTCTATATCCTATGTACGAATGACAATAATGTTGGTAAGCAGTGAGCACTGTACAGTCTCGAATAACACATCGTGTAAATTTGTAATTTGTACTTCGTATTTGAATTTATGTTTTTTAATTTTAATTTTTCGTAATTATGGAGTTTATGTTTAGTGAAAAGGGAACTAAGTTGTTGATTATTGACAATTACAAGTTTGGATTCCAAAAGAACCTAGCAGATAACATACAGAGGTGGATATGTACAAAACGAAAATGTAAAGCATACGTTAAATTGAACGGAGATTGTTTATGTGAAGAAGTATTAACACATAACCACGAAAGTGAAAACGATGGTACACTTGTGCGACAACAATTGACAAATTCATTAAAAAGAAAATGTGACGAACTTATTACAGAGCGACCATCAAAAATTATACGCAAGGAGATAGCTTCAAACAGTCATAGTGAGTCACTACTTCAAAATGATATTAACAGAGTCCGTAAAAATTTGAATGCTGCTAAATTAAGAACAATTCCCAAGTTACCTTCTAATCTTGAAGAACTGCATAAAAGTGTCAGTGAATATTCGTTAATAACTAATCTCGGAGAAAACTTTATTTATGACAACGATTCTGTCAACAATATAATTACATTTACATGCACGCAGAACTTGGAACAACTCAAGAAAGCCACTACGGTATTTGTCGATGGAACATTCAAAAGTTGTCCTAAGCAATTTTACCAATTATTTTCTATTTTTATCAAGGTACAAAATAGCTATGTTCCTGTCGTATTCAGCCTACTCCCGAACAAGACTACTGACACTTACATACTTGCTTTACATAAGGTCGCAAAATATCTAACAGTTGGCACGGTTTTCGTTGATTTTGAAACAGCTATCCATAGTGCCATAACTTCACAGCTACAGCAAGTTACAGTTAGAGGTTGCAGATTCCATTTATGTCAGTCATGGTGGAGAAAAATTCAACAGTTTGGTCTCTCAAATGAATTTAAAGATAATGCTTCAGAAATCGGACAACTTCTTAAACTATTTTTTGGACTGCCCTTATTATCACCTGAAGATGTCGAAGACTGTTTTTATAATGATTTGATGGCCATAAAACCCTACTGCCCAAAATTGGATCAGTTCTTCGACTACGTTCATGATACATACATAATGTCAGACAGTATCTTTCCACCGAAAATTTGGGCTAGATTTGACAAAAATATTGATAGGACTACAAATTGTTGCGAATCGTTCCATTCAAAGCTGAATAAAGAATTTACAACTGCCCATCCTAATATATTTTATTTTATGGAGACTTTAAACAGTATTCAGACATTAAATTATATTAAATTTCGAAGTAATAATACTAGGAAACTTACTAGCAAACAAGAAAAAAATAACAAATTCTTGGAAAATTGTATGACTGAGTACACAAATGAGAAGCTTACGCGAATTGAATACTTAAAGAAAGTTTGCTTCAAATTTGCAAATCAACGATTTTAAATAATTGTATTTATTATATTTTATTATTTGTATTTTGTACCTACACCTAGTGATGACTATAGTTGACTTCAAAATCAACGATTCAAAATTGTATATAATATTATATCATTTTTTTTATAACACGCATTAACGCACATTTTTAACCAAGCCTACTTTTAAGTTGACAGTCCTAAGCCTGTAAAATGTGCGTAATTAAACGGCAACCAATTCGGCTCAACTTAATAAAATACCTTTTTTAAACGGGAACCAATTCGGCTTACCTTAATAAAATACCTTTTTCAGACGGGAACCAATTCGGCATGTGGGGTTGGAGCTCGGGAACCAATTCGGTACCAGCCAAAATATTTATTTTTAAATTAAAATGAATCAGTAGGTAGGTACCAATAGTAAAGGTGTCATACTTCCTTCATTCATTTTCCTCCGATTCCCAAAAATTGTTATCATTGTTTTCACCGACTGTTTTCTTCAAACCATTGTGCTTAAAAATTATTGTAATAATTTTACTGCGATCTTATAAAATAATTACTTAGAACAGGAAGGTTGATCTGCCTGACTTGCCTGCCATGGCTACAGTGGCCGGAGCTGTGGCTGAGTCGCGTGGGCAGTGGATGTTATGGTAAAACATAATATCAAATACGGCTGACGTCGACAGACACATAAAATAACACGACGCAAGATGTATGATAAGATACCACTGATTACCTATGGTAATTTATTGTTAAAAAATACACACCAGTAGGCTTTAAAAAATTAATAGAGAACGATGTTAAATGCACCACGGCGGCGCCGATTGACGGCGGTCTGTGCATTGTTCCGGTGGGTCACCGAGGCGGTCACGGCTTGGATACACTGCGCTTCGTAGCGAACTGCCCAATTGCCCCAATGGGCCAGTGGTATGTGGGTTGCCAAATTGCGGAAACCCCGTACCGGTACGCCATGTACCCGCCCATCAACACCACCGCGCCCAAAACCAACAGATTCCACGTGCGCAGATGACGGACAGACACGTGCACGGCGGCGGTGTCGCCGTGTTTTCGTCTGAGACGCCTCGCCGTTTTGGCCCGCGTCTGTTCCGCGCACACCACTAGGTACCGCGGCGGCCCGATTTCGTAGGGCAGCTGACTGTCTCGGGCCGATCTGCGCGCGTTGCACACGAGCACTGACTGGTACCGGCCCCCGCCGAACAGGCTCGCGTCGCCCCAGCTGTCTATCCACCGGGCAGTGCTGAGTGCGACTTGCAGGTCTTCGGCCGCTCCGACTTCGGGCGGCGTCGGCCACCGGGCCAGCTCGCCGTACGCGCCCGTAGCACTGGTTACCGGCACGCAGACGAACAGGCCCTCGCCGTGGCCACCGTCATCGTCACCGCGGCGTGGTCCCATCGCGAACGTAAAGCTGTTCCGGGGCAGTCGTAGGCCGACTGCAGCGACCACGCAGCTCGGGAACGGCACGGACCGGAAGTTCAGGCCGCCGCCGCCACCGCCGTCGTCGTCGTCGTCGACTTTTTTCAACAGGTGTTCGATCAGCTCGGCCACCGGAATGTCGGCGGTCGTCGCGTCCACCCGGGCTCTTAGCGCGTCGAACGAACGGACGTCGGTGACCGCGGACAGTGAAAGGCACCGTAGCGCAGCCATGATCTCACCCGTGTTGTTGTCCGACGACCTGTTGCACACCGCCGACGCGAACATGTCGAACAGCGTGTGCAACGCTACCGGATCCCGGGACAGTGCCTGTCTCAGGCGGACCA